GTGGGGTTATCCTACTTAGAGTGGTTCCTAGGTATTGGATCCTGGTATTTCTAATAACTGTTAGTTATAATTATAAGTCACCTCTTATTTTTCTTGTTAGTACTGGCAAAAAAGGCGTAGTTATGAAGAACTATCTTGAACAAGTCCTAGAACTTGTTGTTTCTCCTGCTTTTCATAGTTTGTTAAGTTTTTCTGTATTTCCTGCTTCTCAATATGTAGAAGATAGAGTACTAGTTCATAGAATCCATTATGCCTTAGTAGGGATAAATGTAAAACTAGACATACTGGTACACTCCTGATGTGCAGCATCTCTTGATTTAAATCTGATTGAAAATGTCTGTCACTTGATAACGCAATACATCCAAACAAGTGATAGCTTTTTCAGCACCATTCAGGAAATACGCAATGGAGTTAAGGAAGAGTGGGAGAATTTAGTACTGGAAGATTGGAATGGCTATATTGATAGTATGCCTGATTGGCTCAGGTAAGTCTAACAGTGAAGAGATATGCAAACTGAATTTTAATTTTAATTTCTTTGGAGACAATCTTTCCTCTATGATTTCCTTTATTTTATGTTATTATTTCTCATTATAGTTGAGATATTGCTTAAAGGGTATTCAGTATCTGAATTCTAAGTGGTATTCTTATTGCTACTGCTCATCATTTCTGGCACCAGCCTTATACACGATATGACTGTTCCTGATACAGCTTACACTGTACAAATTCAATTTCTAGTTGATGGCAGAGCTCTTATAGAATAACCTTAACACATAAAGTTAGTCATTCTAATGAACCTGCTCTTGAAGACCTAGTAAGAGGTGGCATTGCAGATTTAGTAAGTGATAAGGAAGTAAGACTCTTATCTAATGTTTTCTTAGTAGCCATAATACTCCAATGAATATCATTACTCTTGTAAGGGTGTAATGTGTTCGCAAGGTACTAATTAAGTTTCGGATAAGGTATAATGGTAAACAAGTGGTCTACTCTACCAGACAGAAGACAAGAGCTGCAAACTAAAGGAGGGTTCAAATGTGTACTAGGAAAACTAAGGAGTCACCATTCAACTAAGTATATTGAAATACTGTTATTCGAAGTCTGCCTTTTCCATCTTAGAATCAGGTGATCTTTAAATATACAAGTCTGTTTATATTTAGCATGAACAAAACTAATCAAAGATATTAAGTGATACACTTTGGTAGAACCACTTAAATATCAAAACAATACTTAAACATAAAATAAAACCAAATATCAAAGCGATACTTAAATAAAATATAAAGCAAAACCCTTAACCCAGTACTCATACCAGTTACAGTACTACAAAAACAGACTAAGAGCATTGAACTTTATTTCCAAGTAAAAGAACATACGAGAAATTCTGTTAATTGTGGATTTAGAACTACAAGGTTTAAGGCTTCACGGCAAGATATATGGATACTAAAAGATTATAGTAAGATTATATCAATAATGGCAAGAAATTAAACAATTCAACTAATTGACCTTTTCGAGGAAAATCAAGCAGAAGGAGTATTTTGGGATTCGGAAAATTGTCTTATGTAACGTATTTGCAAGGTGCTAATCACGTGATCGGTAAATGGTACGATAGTTGGCAGGTGGTCTGCTCTAACAAAGAAGAGGCGAGAGCGGAAAACTAAAGGAGAATTCGAAGGTGTACTTGAGAAACAAAGAAGTAACCATTCAACCAAGTATATTGAAATACTGTCTGTCAAAGTCTGCCTTTTCCATCGTGGAATCAGGCAGTCTTTAAATACACAAATCTGTTCATGTCAAGCATGAATAAAACTAATCAAAGATATCAATGGATACACTTTAGTAAAACTAATTAAGTATCAAAGCGATACTTAAAAGAAAATATAAAACAAAACCAAGTATCAAGGTGATACTTAAAACAAAACATAAAACAAAACCAAGTATCAAACGATACTTAAAACAAACCAAGTATTAAGGTAATACTTAAAACAAAATATATAACTGAGTACACATACCAGTTACATTAGGAATGTCAGTGAGTCAAGCAGGATTGATAGATCTGGTGGTGATCTTGTTAGGAATACCAGAATTCGATACCTAGAAACCATCCTAAGTAGGATAACCCCACTCAGAATCGGAATCTCTGGTCTCCAACACCCCCCTCCGGCTCCCTTATGGGGCCCATACGTCATCATATATATTAATCTCAGTTGTGTCCTGTGACTATATTACCACAGAATTAAAGGGGTTAGATTAACACCATATACATTGTCGCCGTCTGTCCGACCAGATCCTGTTCGCAGGATATATGAGAGGGGACCTTCGGCTAGGCCTGGGAAGTGGAACGGAGTAATTCCGTTAACTACTCAGAGGGTTACTTGGCTTCAAATACATGACACCTTTGGCATGGGCCGTAAGTAACGGGACGTTTTCGTACAAAGAGATGGTATCAAATGGTAAAGGATCTCTACTAGAGACCAATATATTTACATCCACCAGAAGAGTCTAGAACTCCAAAAGACACTACCAAAGAAGCCAACGAACTTCATGGAGTGTTGCAACTGGGTTTCGGAACACGTCGTAGCCATGAGGTGATTTTCAATACTACAATGGTTACTGAAACCTACTACCCAGAGAGCAACCAAGGGTTGCCGACCAAGGGATTAATTACCAATCTGGTGGAATAGCTTCCTGCAAGTTAATAGAAAGTCATCCAGAGAAAATCTATTGGTTGGGTATGGAGTTACAAAGAATCGAAGTCAGACGACCTATGATGGTTGTAATGATGACCACCTTTGCAGATATAGCCGTGGATAAAACTGATCATTTTATCAATGGCGAAGACAATTGGGGCCAACTCAGTTCCACTTAAGAACTAGGCTATAAGTCTAAAGACTCTGCTAATCAGGATATTACTATTGGAGACAGCACGTTTCCTAAGAAGAAATATCGTATTTACCAAAGAGGGTGTGATGGTTTTCAGGGTCCACAGGTGTTCGCAACTTGGAAGAAAACTTGACGTTGCGAATTACGATTGAAGAAGTACATAGTTGTATGATAAATAGATATAGTCTGCGAACACTCAGATGCGGAATATAAATATCGAAGTACCTCCCAAGCTTTAGACATCATCAAGCAATGGAGAAGAGACCTTAACAATATAATATTGTTTTTACGATTCTACCCTACTTTACCTATTCTACTTCGCTCCTAGTAGTCATAAATGAAATGAGTAAAGTTCGAGCCTTCCTAGACAATCTCCGTCTACAAAAACAAATCTCGATTGGCCTAGACAACCTTGAAGTCTATCAAGTTGTCTCTGCCTAACATGTCTCCACTAGTGGTCAGAGTAGGGGGGAAACGAGGGGGAAAAGGGAAGTGTATAAGGAAAAGGGCAAAGAAAGTTCTACCAGCCTTGGCTCAGACAGGCAGATGGAGGCAGAGTATATTGGGACAAGTAGTCGTGGAGAGGAAGATGAAGAATGTACTACATGTGTTCCTACTAAATGGACAACTAAAGGAGTTGTCAATACTGCCTATGAATATTTCTTGAGATAAACTTGAAGTTTCTGCTGGTAATAGAAATAGGACTAAATATTGTTTATTGTTCTTTAGATAGTAATACCTAAGTCTCTCCATTGTTTACTATACCTGTTGTTCTAGATACCCCATTGTCCCGGATGAAATCTGTGAAATTTGGCCATCCGGGATGGCGGGGTGCGACTTTACTCGAGTACAGAATTGATCCCCCGCCTTTTTTTCCCCTTCTTCCCCCTTTTGGCATAGTCTGTTCTCATTATTGTCATATTATCCGGTTCAGCAGACTAGAATTCTGTAAGGACAGGGGGGCAATATTTTCCAAATCTCATATGAACCCAAAAACCCCCTTTTTCCGGTTCAACAGGGAAATTTCTATGGGAAATTGTAACAGCCAGCAATGTTGTCCGGATCAGCGGGGTATCCGGTTCAGCGAGATCCGAGATAACGAGGTGCAACTGTACTGTACTGCTGCGGCGGGAAGAGGTCAGCTCTGACGGGCCAGATAATTACGGCCGAACGACACTCTCGTATGCCGCTTGGTTTGGCAGTCAGGATTTGGGAAGAAGGGGGGGGGAATGGAGGTTTGAAGGCCTCACGAATTGCGGTGGGTGGTACGGATGGTACCGCAGTACCGTATGGGACTTTTTCTTTTTTTCTTCTTCTCTCTCGCCTCTCTGTTGTAGGAGTACTGTACAGTACTGTGAGTGTGTTCTTTTCCCACGTTTTTCCTCACTTACCGGTAGCTCAAGATGGACAAAAGGAGTGTACCTGCTGACTCTCCCCTTCGTTCCCGGTTTTCCCCATGCTCAAAGGCTATGCGGGTAGAGCCGTAGAGGGTTGTTGTACCGATGGCATGTCTAGCCGAAGTGTTTTATGCGGCACTCAAAGTCGGTGGGAGCCCCGCTTGGCGGTAGGAGAGGGTCAGTCAGATGGGGTTTTGTACGATACTTGCAGTATCACGGGATAGCTTTTTGTTGTATCAAGGCTGACCTAAGTGGAAATGGTGGTTAGATTGTAGAATGAAGCTCTGGTACCGGGAGTCTGGAGACCGGATTAAATTATTGCATTCTCTCTTCCCCGCACATTCACACCCTCCGCTCCCGGAAATCTCGGGTGGTCGGGGGATGGTGGGTGGGGATGGAGGGCCGGCTGACATCTCGAATGGCTGGACTGGTTGGTCTGGCTGAGATTTCTTAGTGTATCGTGCTTTTTCCTCATTTTGATGGGTCAGATTTTATCGATAGCCGAATAAATCAGCAGGCCCTTGCGACCTCTCATGTGGCTTTATTGTCCCTGCACGTGCCCAAGATTTAGATGCATTTGTCTGAATTGTGGGGAAACTGCAAAACAACAACTGTCGCACTAGGGGTCCTCTAAATAAAGTATTGGTAGGGGCCCTTCCCCGCCGACCGAATGGATAGATCTGGGGAGCTAGACCAAGAGTACTTCTAACCTCAATTTCCCCTCTTCATCCTCGAGCCGAGAGTGTTGGATACACTTTGTTCTCCATCTCCATCTCCATCTCCATCTCCTTCCTCTATACCCAACTTGGTTTAGTTCATACTCGTATTGTGCACAGGATTCTTGCTCTTGTTTGCTCAGGGGGTTAACCATGCCCTGGCTTACGCTCCTTCGCAGTTCGCTATTGCTGCTGCTAGCAGCAGCAGTTTGTGAATCTCAAGATACTCCGATATTTCCAGGGCCTTGGGAACGCTACATTCAAGCACCGGAATCTCGCCAGGTCCGTCCCCGGAAAGTTTACTATACTGAGGGCACTGTTTCTGCTGCTACCGACTCGTCAGGCGTTACGGTTTTGAAAGGTCAGGGTGCCTTGGTGACATACGAGTTTGCTCAAAATATTGCTGGACGGTATCACCCCTCGCTAAACAGATTTCCCCCTTTTTTCGACCTCGGGGTGGAGTGATCGATCCTGATATTTTATTTCTTGAGTTTAGCCTTTTTTTCGAAGTCGATTCGGCCACAACGAGTAAACACCAGTCCATTGGTATCGCATTCTCTGAATCCCCTCGATTTATCGGGCGAAGAACCGACGGAACCGGTGACAGGATCGAGTACGATCTTACCCATTTTCAGCCCCTGACAAGTGGCCTTAATTCACTGGACCAGGAACATGTTCGCGGTGCATTCAAATATGTCACGCTTTTCATTCCTCACCCGAGGGATCCAAAGGCTGGTCAGGCTCTCCCGCACATCGCTTCACTCACTACCAAGTCCATTGCAGCGGACCTCTCAGATTTGGCGCAGATGGACTTTGGGACACGTGGCGGACAACAGCCCCTGCTTCCTGTTGAGAGTGTCGGTTTCAAAGATGTCTGGGTCAAATATTCAGCTTTCCCGTCGCACGAAAACCCACGTCGATACACAGGGTATTTCTATTCGAACGATAATCTTCTCAACCGTATTTGGTATGCCGGGGCTTACACACTTCAAATTACCACAATCCCGCCGAAAGAAGGGGGAACTCTCATTGATTTGAATAAGGTGGTTGATCATAATAGAGCACCACATGGAACCTGGTACTCCAATTTTACGATATCCAACGGGACCTCCGTAACCACGGATGGTGCTAAACGCGACAGGATGGTCTACGCAGGAGACATGACACTTGCCGCCCCTGGGATAGCTGTCTCAACTTACACCGAGTAGTAAATTAGGCTCACCTCGA